TTGGGGGGTAAAAGTGCTGCAGCTGCTGCAGTGCAGCGTGTACAAGTTCACTCGCTGCTGCTGCTGCTGCAACACAAATTCTAGTCTTCATAGAACAGCTTATAACAACGAGTCCGAGAAGGAAGACAGGCTGATACAGCCCCTTCTCCCCTGGCGCAGAAGCAGCAGCAGCAGCAGCAGCAGCAGCAGCAGCAGCAGCAGCAGGTGCAGCAGCTGCTGCAGCACTTGCTGCTGCTGTTGCTGCTCAAGACATTCTGCGTGTACCTTCTCTCTTCCTGCTGCTGCGGCCTCCACAGTCAGAGGCTGTGTGCTTGCTGCTGCCGGCCGTACATAGAACGGCGGCGAAACAGGAGCAGCAGCAGCAGCAGCAGCAGCAGCGGCAGACACAGCACCGCAGCAACAGCAGCACATCTAGCTGCAGCACCAGCAGCAGCAGCAGCAGCAGCAGCACGTTCACCGTCACCAACCGTTTTCTGCGGCGTGATAACGAAGGCATATTCTCAGAGTCCGCTTCAGCAGCAGCAGCAGCAGCAGCAGCAACAGCAGCAGCAGCAGCAACAGCGGCAGCAGCAGCAACAGCAGCAGCAGCAACAGCAGCAACAGCAGCAGGAACAGCAATAGATCTTTGACAGCTGCAGCGAGGCAGATAGGACAAGCCTATCCACTACTAGCTGCAGCAGGGCTTGGGCTTGCTGCTGCGGCTGCTGCTGCTGCTGCTGCTGCTGCTGCTGCTGCTGCTGCAGCACTCTGTGGCAGTTGTAGCGGCAGCAGCGTGCGAAACCCGCAGCAACAGCAGCAGCAACCGCAGCAGCAACAGAAGTATCAGCAGCAGCTACTGCATCTGCATAGCAAGCAGCAAGAACAGCAACAGCAATACGAGCAACAGCAGCAACAGCAGCAACAGCAGCAGCAGCAGCAACAGCAGCAGCAGCAGCAGCAGGATGTCTAAGCAGGGTCGTCGCAAGGGGTGCAGACAGAGAGACGCAGACTACGACAGCAGCGACAGCAGCGGGGGGCAGGGGTGTGGTGCTGCTGCTGCTGCTGCTGCTGCTGCTGGCTGCGGCAGAAGGTGGAGGAGAAGAGAAGCCCCAGACCTCAGCCTCGTCATCGTGCAGGAAGAGGTTGAGGCCTCTAGGTACCTAAACCCTAAACCCTAAACCCTAAACCCTAAACCCTAGAAACCCTAGAAGTATAAACCCTTGGGTTTAGGGTTTAGNCTAAACCCTAAACCCTAAACCCTAAACCCTAGAAACCCTAGAAGTATAAACCCTTGGGTTTAGGGTTTAGTTAGGGTTGTGGTGCTTGCATACATAGACTAAACCCTAAACCCTAAACCCTAAACCCTCAGCTACAACATGCAGATGGTTTACACTCTATATCTTGCACACAGAACCACAAACCCTAAACCCTAAACCCTAAACCCTAAACCCTTGTCTGTGTGTGTGTGTGTGGGGTGTATGTACAGGGTGGGTGTTGCTTCTTGGGCTGCAGCGCATGCAGGCCCCTCCTCGCTGCTGCCGCGGCGGCTGTGCTGCTGCTGCGGCTTACCAGCAGCTTTTAGGTGTACAGAGTGCTGCAAGAAGCGCAGCAGCAGCAGCAGCAGCAGCAACATGGGGGCAGCAACAGAAGCAGCAGCAGCAGCAGCAGCACCAACTGGCAAATACCTCTGCAGCGCGGAGTGTCTACGCATACACCGGGCAGCTGACTGTACACCCCGGCACCTTCTTAACTGGCTAGGATAAGCAACAGCAGCAGCAGCAGCAGCAGCTGCTGCTGCTGCTGCTGCTGCTGCTGTTGCTGCTGCTGTAATTGCTGCTGCTGCTGCTGCGGCGGCTACGCTGCTGCTGCTACGGTTGCAGCTGTGATGCAGCAAAGGCTGCTGCTGCTGCAACTGCCTGCATGTATTAGCTGCAGTTAGAGCCAGCAGCAGCAGCAGCAGCAGCAGCAGCAGCAGCTTGCTGTGGCACGTGCTGCAGCAAGAGCTGCAGCAGCTCTAGGCAGCGCTAGCTGCTGACAACAAACTGTCTCCATCTGACGAGCTTAAACTTTATATGCGATGGGAATTGGTGCTGCTGCTGCTGCAGCAGCAGCTGCTGCTGCTGCTGCAACTGCTGCTGCTGCTTATACTGCTGCTGCTGTTGCAGCTGCTGCTACTGTAACTGCTGCTGAAACTCCCGCAGAAACTGCTACTGGAACTGCTGCTGCTGCTGCAACTGCTGCAGCAACTGCTGCTGCTGCTGCAACTGCTGCTGCAACTGCTGCTGCAACTGCTGCTGCTGCTGCAACTGCTGCTGCAACTGCTGCTGCTGCTGCAACTGCTGCTGCTGCTGCTGCAACTATTTTCAGTAGCAGAGTGGTGAGCCTATGAGGCGACGATGCTTTTGCTGCTGTGGACGGCGACGCTGATGCAGCAGCACTTGCAGCAGCAGATCTTGCTGCAGCAGCACTTGCAGCAGCAGCAGCAGCAGCAGCAGCAGCAGCAGCAGCAGGTTTGTTTCGTCACTGGCATAGATAGACGAAAGAGACAGAGGCTGACACCACAGGAGACACATAAATAAAAGAAACAAAAAAGGAGACAGATAAAGAAGCGGGAAAGGAGACAGATAAGGAGACAGATATAAAAAAGGAGACAGATAGAGAAAATGAGACAGATATAGAGAAAGAGACAGATATAGAAAAGGAGACAGATATATAAAAGGAGACAGATAGAAGAAAGCAGACAGATAAGGAGACACATGCAGAGAAGGAGACAGCTAAGGAGACAGATAAGGGGACAGATAAGGAGACAGCTGTAAGGAGACAGCTATAAGGAGACAGCTGTAAGGAGACAGCTATAAGGAGACAGCTGAGGAGACAGTTGAGGAGACAGCTGAGGAGACAGCTGAGGAGACAGTTGAGGAGACAGTTGAGGAGACAGCTGAGGAGACAGCCATAAGGAGACAGCTACAAGGAGACAGAAGAGGAGACAGCTGAGGAGACAGTTGAGGAGACAGTTGAGGAGACAGTTGAGGAGACAGCTGAGCGAAGACAACAGAGAAAGGTGAAGAAGAAAGTTTTGCTTTTGTTTAACTACAGTGCTGCAGCAGCAGCAAAAAATATTGTGCTGCAGCAAGAAGAAGAGCCTTCTTTCTCGTGCTGCTGCTGC